TGGAGTTTCTTAAGCAACGCCTACCTTGCCTATGGTCATAAAGCACAGAGGGGCATATAACACAGAAGTTGGGGACCTCCAAGTCAAACAAGTCACACTCCTTGTTACATCATGCTATACTGAATAGGAAGTAGTCTAGCCAATTAATTTTTGTGTGCGAAATAAAATAACAGTAGCACTATTGATTAATTAGTCATGTCTGACTGGAAACAGCTTACTGCCTAGAACAATTAGAAATGCAACATTGGGAGTTTAATAAAAGACAATGGTTTTGTTTTGCTTTGTTTGTGCTCTCCTGGGGCTTGCACTCAGGGCCGAGACATTGTCCCTGAGCTTTTAAGTTCAAAGCTACCTTTCTATAACTTGAGCCACAGCTCCTCCAATCCTGGCAGTTTGGTGGTCAATTGGAGATAAAAGCCTCATGGACTTTCTTGCCCAGACTGGCTTTGAATGGTGATCCTCAGATCTCAGCCTCTTGAGTTACAGGCATAAGCCATCAGCACCCAGCTATAAAATAGAAGTTTTGCCAGTTATGTTGGTACTAATCTTTAGTCTCAGTAACACAGAAGGCATTGGTAGGAGGAATGTGTTAAAAAAAAAATCAGCCCGAACAAAAATTTAGCAAGACCTCATCTCAACAACTCAAGCTGGGCATGGTGATATTTTTTTGTAATCCCAGATAACTTGGGAAGCAGGAGCAGGAAGGTAAAGATTGAGAGGAGTCCAAGGCCAAGGTTGGCTGTGGTCAAAACTGTGAGACCTTATCTTTTTTTTTTTTTAATTGTTTGTTTTTGGGTCCGGTCGTGGGGCCTGAACTCTGGGCCTGGGTGCTGTCCCTCAGCTCTTCGGCTCAAGGCGAGCGAGCGCTCTACCACTTGAGCCACAGCGCCACTTCCGGCTTTTTTCTTTTTGCTTATGTGGTGCTGAGGAATCGAACCCAGGGCTTCATGCATACAAGGCAAGCACTCTACCGCTGAGCCACCTTCCCAGCCCCCTGTGAGACCTTATCTAACGAATAATCAAAGTGAGAAAAGACTTGGGATGTAGCTCAAGTGGTAAAGTGCTGCCTTGAGTGCAAAGCTTTGAATTCAGATTCCAGTACTGAAAAACAAAGTGTGTGGGGGGGGTATTCAATCTTCTTCTGTGATCTTTTCTTCTATTTCTCTTTGGCCTCCTGTAATCCCAGCTACTCAAGAGGCTGAGATATGGAGGACTACAGTTCAAAGCTAGTCTGGGCAGAAAAGCATATAAGATTCTATCTCCAAAACATCCAGCAGAATTCTTGGCTGGAGGTATAGTATAAATGGTAGAGCACTAGCTGAGCAAGAAAGCCAAGTAAAACAAAAGGTTCTGTGTTCAATATCCTAGTACCAGAAAAAGAAAACAAAAAATTGCTGTAGAGTAGTATATATTTATAAATATTTTCTCCCAGTTTCATGTTTCATTATGTCACATTTCACTAACACACATTGAATGTTCATTATGGAATTTCAAAACATTTTGTGTATAATTTGTAACTACTCTTATATTTACTAAGACTTAAAAAGAAGTTTGGGACCAGGTATCAGTGGCTCACGCCTATAATCCTAGCTACTTAGAAGGCTGAGTTCTGAGGATCACCAAGAGTCTGTGAGACTCTTAACTCCAATAAACAACCAAAAAGCCAGAGATGAAGCTGTGGCTCAAGTGGTAGAGTGCTAGCCTTGAGCACAAAGCTCAGGGACAGCACCCAGGCACAAAGTTCAAGCCCCAGCACTGGCACAAACAAAAAAGAAAAAAAAAAGGCTGGAAAGGTGGCTCAGTGGTAGAGCGCTTGCCTTGCATGCATGAGGCCCTGGGTTTGATTCCTCAGCACCACATAAGCAGAAAAAGTCTGAAGTGGTGGTATGGCTCAAGTGGTAGAGCGCTAGCCTTGAGCTGAAGAGCTGAGGAACAGTGTCCAGGCCCAGAGTTCAGGCCTCATGACTGACAAAAAAAAAAGAAAGAAAAAAAGTTTTATAAAGCAAGGTGTGAGATCACCTTGACAATAAAATTAAATTAAAATAAAGCAACATGTGCAGCATTATTATAAAATGTTACCTTAGTGATAGAGTATTGCCCCATCCCCAGTTCTATAAAAAAAAAACAAGATATTAGAGTGACTGGGTAAAGATACATAAGATGAAGATTCTGTATCTGAGAGGAATTGTGATGGTGAAAGGAAAAGCCCAGCCAGGCTCATCACTAATCAGGAATCTAAGATCTAAGGATCACAGTGTGAAGCCAGCCCAGCAAGAGTCGATAAAACTTTTGTTTCCACCAAACTACCAACAAAGATGGAAGCAGAGCTGTGGCTCAAGTGGTAGAACACAGGGACAGACCCCAGGACCTGAGGTCAAGTTCCAGGACAGGTGCTTGCGCGTGTGCATACACCAACACACGAAGTAGAAGGTATGAATGTGAAAAGGGGACTGGAGGAGGAGGGAGAAGGGCAGTGGGAGAATGTCTGTAAAGAACTTTAAAAGGGGTCTGGGAAGTTGGCTCAGTGGTAGAGCGCTTGCCTTGCATGCGTGAGGCCCTGGGTTCGATTCCTCAGCACCACATAAGCAAAAAGAAAAAAGCCAGAAGTGGCTCTGTGGCTCAAGTGGTAGAGCGCTGGCCTTGAGCTGAAGAGCTGAGGGACAGCGCTCAGGCCCAGAGTTCAGGCCCCATGACCGAACCCCCCCCCCCAAAAAAAAAGAACTTTAAAAGGGGGACAGGGGAGTAAGAATGACTAATGGTGTGTATATTATCAAATACTTGTATTTGTAAGAAGGTACATATAGAAAAGCATGGTAATATCATAACAAATCTGAACACATTAATAAGAGAAAAATGATACGCAAGGAACTAGTTGTTGCCTTAAGGTAAAGGAGCAGGATGGTTGGGCCAGTGGTTGAAAAGAAATTTACTGCTGGGCGCTGGTGACTAATCTTAGCTACTCAGGCAGCTGAGATCTGAGCATCGAGGTTCCAAGCCAGTCCCCTCTGAAAAGCCACCGTGAGATTCATCTCCAGTCAACCACCAGAAAACCAGAAGTACTATGGCTCAAAGTAGTAGAGCACTCGAGCAAAAGAGCTCAGGGATAGCACCCAGGCCCTGAGTTCAAGCCCTGCAACCAGCCAAAAAAAAAATTTACTTACTACATTACAGTATATATTCTTTGTATCTTTTTAATTTTTTGTCTGTGCCAGTATTGGGGCTTGAACTCTGGGCTTGAGCTTTTTCACTCAAAGCACTACTACCACTTAAGCTACAGTTCCATTTCTAGGTTTTTGGTGGTAAATTGGAAATGAGTGAGTCATAATTCTACTTCTGGCTTTTTGGTGGCTAAATTGGAGATAAGAGTCTCATGGAGCCAGATGCTGGTGGCTCATGCTTATAATTCTAGCTATTCAGGAGCCTGAGATCTGAGGATCACAGTTCAAAGCTAGCCCCAGCAGAAAAGTCTATGAGACTCATCTCCAATAAACTACTCCAAAAAAAAAAAGCCAGAAGTCACTCTGTGGCTCAAATGGTAGGGCACCAGCCTTGAGCACAGAGAGGCTCAGGGACGGCACCCAGTCCCTGGGTTCAAGCCCCAGCACTGGCAAAAAAAAAAAAGTCTCATGGACTTTCCTGCCCCAGGCTGGATTCACCAGATCGTCAGATCTCGGTCTTCTGAGTAGTTGGATTACAGGTATGAGCCACCGACGTTCAGTCCTTTCAAAAAAAAAAAATATATATATATATATACAGTACTTATTCAATTTTAGTTCAAACATATGTACATGGAAGTCATTTATCATTTATGAAAGATGCCTGCAGAAATTTCAGTATCATTTCTAACCTCAGTAACACATAGGAAATGAAAGGAGGACACACTTTTGTTGACGGGGCCTTTCACCTTGAGTGCCAGCTTTTCTGGAAAGTTACATGGAGTGTGATTGAATATACTCAGCACAGAATTAATGCTGTGCTCCTCGCCCTCTTCCAAGGCCTCACGTGCCTTCCTGCTTTTGTGTCTTACGAGGACCAGCTCAAGTTTTGTTCAGATATTTTGTTTTGTTGGGGAAAAAAAATCCTTTCCTTAATTTTCTTTGTATTTTAACTCTTAGTAAATGGTACCTATATTTGTATTGGGAAAGATAATTTGTATATATAAATAGTTCTCACCAAGACATTTATTCAGGCCCTTTACATAGGAGGAAACAAAACCTACCTTTGTACCCCCTCTTTGGGATATTTAGAGAGAGGGCTAATTGAATAACTTTCTTTTTTTCCTCAAAACTATATTTTCCCCAACATTTTGAAGAGAATAATTTGAGTCTTACTACTTAATTAAAAGTATGTAAACCTGTCAAAGGCACTTAAGTGTTCAACACATCCTGTTTCATAAAAATGGGGTAGCGTGCTCTCTTTCTTTTCTTTTTTTTTTTTTTGTCTTGTCAGTCATGGGGCTTGAACTCTGGGCCTGTGCCCTGGCCCTCAGCTCTTCAGCTCAAAATGAGCACTCTACCACTTGAGCCACAGCACCACTTCCAGTTGTCTGGTGGTTAATTGGAGATAAGAGTCTCCTGGGGGCTGGGAAGGGTGGCTCAGTGGTAGAATGCTCGCCTTGCATACATGAGGCCCTGGGTTTGATTCCTCAGCACCACCTAAGCAGAAAAAGCTGGAAGTGGAGTTTAGGCCCCACAACCAAAAAAAAAAAAAAAAGAGTCATGGACTTTCCTGCTCAGGCTGGCTTTTGATTGTGATCCTCAGATCTCAACCTCCTTAGTAGCTAGGATTACAGCCATGAGCCACTAGCACCCAGCTTCATCTGCTCTGTTTTGTTGTTTTTTTTTATCACTGGTATAAATGATTGGAATGTACAAATGTGGCTTGTATTTAGCTGACTCATGAATTCTCTTTCTTAAGACTCTAGTCTCCTCCTCAAGGCTTGCCTTCATTTCAGTTGTTGAGGGAGGGCAAACCTGGTCAGCCTGCATGAGTGTGGCACCATGCAGTGCTGCCAAGATACCCTGTTACCCTCAGCGCATGGCCACCGCTGCTTCTCTAGGCTAAATGTGGCTGTACAGCTTCCTCCAAACCTCAGGGGTATGTTCTGCTATGGGAGAGGGTTGCAGCACCTGTCTAGAGCAGGTGCTTTTTTTTTAGATTCGCTTTTTCTGTGATGATGGTAGAGGTTCTGTTCCTGTTTTGAATTTGTTCCTAGACTACCTCTCCCATCACAGTAAATTCTTCTCCTTTTAAATTCAGTAAATGCCTATGCTTGTGTTTCGTTGTCCCAGAAGCCAACATAGCTCATTAGGAACCAGCATATTCTCCAAGACTCAGATAAAGCTTGGCTAGCCATGTTTAAGATGTTCTTTTGATCCTGTTCTAGGTACAGTGTTAGTCTATGAAGTAGATGAGAGCATTCTCAAGACTCATGATTATTTGGATATGTCCCTAAAATGTTACTTGTTTTACCATCTTATTAAAATTGATATTTTCTACTTCATTATTTTCAGTTTTCCTTCATCTCAAAAGTTACTTATTGTGAGGCACCAGTGATTCATGTCTATAAATCCTAGCTACTCAGGAGGTTCAAAGCCAACCTGGGCAAGAAAGTCTGTGAGACTGTTATCTACAGTTAACCAGCAAAAAGCTGAAAGTAGAATTGTGGCTCAAATGGTAAAGCATTACCCTGAGCACAAAAGCTCAGAGACAGAACCAGGCCCTGAATTCAAGTCTCAGAACACCCTGCCCCCCCCCACATACTTTATTTTTTTATTTTTGGGTCCGGTCATGAGACCTGAAGTCTGGGCCTGGGCGCTGTCCCTCAGCTCTTCAGCTCAAGGCTAGCACTCTACCATTTGAGCCACAGCATCACTTCCAGCTTTCTTTTTATTTTTGCTTATGTGGTGCTGGGGAATCGAACCCAGGCTCTCATGCATGCAAGGCAAGCGCTCTACCACTGAGCCACCTTCCCAGCCCCCCCCCCCCACACACCTTATTTACTTAGTGTCTATAACTCCAAGATGCATCTGTCTAAATGATTTAAATGATTTTCTTAAAATGAAAAATAATGTTTCCTAATTGGTCTTTTATTTTAGAGAGAGCAAAATGTGACAAAATGTGTGCTTTTATTTGTTTTGCGTTGCTATAACAAAACATGAGACTGGGTGTTTATAAAGAACAAGTTTTATTTCTCATGGTTATGGTGACCAGGAAGTTCCAAAGTTGAGATCCTGGAGAGCAGGTATTTAGAAAGAATCAGTCTCAGGGCTGGGAAGGTGACTCAGTGGTAGAGGGCTTGCCTTGCATGCCTGAGGCCCTGGGTTCGATTCCCCAGCACCACATAAGCAAAAAGAAAAAAAGCTGGAAGTGGTGCTATGGCTCAAGTGGTAGAGCTCTAGCCTTGAGCTGAAGAGCTGAGGGACAGTGCCCAGGCCCAGAGTTCAGGTCTCATGACCAGACCCAAAAAAACAAATTAAAAAAAAAAAAAAGAATCAGTATCAGCTGGCCACCGGTGGCTCACACCTGTAATCCTAACTACTCAGGAGGCTGAGATCTGAGGATCACGGTTCAAAGCCAGCCCGGGCTGGAAAGTCCATAAGACTCTTTTATTTTTTTGTCGGTCATGGGGCTTGAACTCGGCCTGAGCGCTGTCCCTCAGCTCTTCAGCTCAAGGTGAGTGCTCTACCACTTGAGCTGCAGTGCCACTTCCGGTTTTCCAGTGGTTTATGGAGTCTCACGGTCTTTCCTGCTCGGGCTGGCTTTGAACCGTGATCCTCAGATCTCAGCCTCCTGATTAGCTAGGATTACAGGCGTGAGCCACCGGCGCCCAGTTAAGAGTAAATTTCTTATTTAATTAATTAGTTAATTAATTTTTACTGGAGTACAGAATCTCGGCTGACCAGATCCTGCTTTTTTTTTTTGGTCAGTCATGGGGATTGAACTCTGGGCCTCAGTGCTGTCCCTCAGCTCTTCAGCTCAAGGCAAGTGCTCTACCACCTGAGCCACAGCACTGCTTCCGGTTTTCTGGTGGTTTATTGGAGATAAGAGTCTCATGGAGTTTCCTGCCCAGGCTGGCTTTGAACCATGATCCTCAGATCTCAGCCTCCTGAGTATCTAGGATTATAGGCGTGAACCACCCGCACCTGGCCATATTTTTTTAAATTATTTAAATTTCTTACTGTTTTTATAAAGGTGATAGACATAGGGGTTTCAGTTACATATCTTACGACTCTTTTTTATCAGGGCACTCATCCATTTATGAGGGTATAGCTACTGCTATCTGAACACCACTCATTAGGCCTTGCCTTCTGAGTGTTGAAATGAGGATTAAGTTTCTACTATGAATTTTAGGGTGCATGTTCTAGTTATAGCATGTGGGCTCTCAACTAATAAGTACAACAATTACACAGAACAGACTGTCATTCAATAGCCAACACTTACTGAGATTCTACTGTATGTTGGACACTGTAGTAGGCAGTAGTATATTAGTAAATGAGTACATGGGTAACTAAATAAGTGCTCACCATACTCTGAGTTTATAATCTAGCAGACAAACAATAAATAAAAATTGGGGAAATGTAAGTGCTAATATAAGTGTAAAAGGAGAGGCACAATTTGATAGGAGCCTATAATGAAAAGAAAGTACTGGGGAAGTTTTCCTTAAGAATGAAGGGAAGCCCAGCATGGTGGCATATACCTATTATCCTCATCCTTGTAGGTTGAGATCATGAGGTTCAGGCCAGCTAGAAGAAATGAAGGAAGGAAGAAAAGGAGCCAAAGGAAAGGAAGGCATTATTAAACAGAGACTGGTGCTGTGGAATAAGAGTACAGTGTAAGGCCTTGAAGAGGGAAAGAGTGGTATGTTTGGGGACTAAAGAAAAACAAGGGGACATGGAAGAGCAAATGAGGGAGGTGGGGGAGATGAGATTTATGCTGATAAAACAGGCGCATGGGACCTGATAGGCTTTGATAGAGATTTGGGACTTTTTACTGAGTTCCAGGAAGCCATTAGAGGATTTAAGGCACCATGACAAAAACCATACATTTAAAAAATTAACCCAGTGTATGCAGAAGAAAGAATGGGAGGGTTAAGAATTCAGTGTTGTGGGCTGGGAAGGTGGCTCAGTGGTAGAGTGCTTGTCTCACATGCATGAGGCCCTGGGTTCAATTCCTCAGCACCACATAAGCAGAAAAAGCCAGAAGTGGTGCTGTGGCTCAAGTGGTAGAGCACTAGCCTTGAGCTAAAGAGCTGAGGGACAGCGCCCAGGCCCAGAATTCAGACCCATGACCCACCCACCCCACCCCACCCTCCCAAAAAAAGAATTCAGTGTTGAGAATTGACATTGACATGTACTGGGGTATTGGAGATGGAGATCGAGGGATGAGGATAGACTTGTCTAAGGGTAGATTCTGCTTGCCAGTGATTTGGGGGTGAGAAGCTCTGGGAGTTTGGAGAGAAGCATTATAAACAATTTGCCTAGGGGGCTGAACGAACAGTGAACATTGAGGATTCCTGAAGGAAAGTGTTCCTTAGGCTTGAAGTTGCTTGAAAGACATCTAAATAGCAATATTAAGTAAACAGTAATCACACTAAGACCTTAAAAGGGATTTCTTAGCAAAACCTAAGTTTGGAAGCCATTGGCTTATCTAGGCAACATTGAAATTGATGAACTGAATTCACATGTTCTAGAAAGAAATGCAGTGAGAAGAGAAAGGCCGGTTGGAAAAACAGACTTGAACTTGTTGAGGACAAATGTTCTGTATAATTTTTATTAGTAACACTTCAGTTTTATAAGAATTGTTTCTCATAATAACCTTGGTTATTTTAACTGAAACTTTATAGTAATAGTGGAACCCTTTCCGTCTTGCCAGATCCATTGTCATCTATTTGTTTGTTTACTTATTTATTCCAGCTATTATTTATTCAAAGATGAATAAACTATAATTGACCTATTAAAGGTAATGTGACTGATATTTTCTAAGTATATGGGTAAGCAATGAGAAGAACTGGTAGGAAGAAGTATTCCTACTACAATTTTATCCTATAAGTGGCTGAGAGGATAGAGTTACATCTGTGCAGACATAAGAAGGAGGCTTGAGCCATGTGTCATTTCTTATAGATAGCTTTGGAATTAATTAGTGTTTCTTACTCAAGTGCTCTGTCTGGTGTCATCTCTGATTGCCAGAGTTTCTGTTTTAATTAGGATGGTAGGGATTGCCTTCTTTGCCACTAGGACAGATGATAAGAAACAGACCAGTTGGGGCTGGGGTACAGCCTAGCACTTGCCTAGCATGCTGTAGGCCTTGGGTTGGATCCCTCAGCTCTTTAAAAGAAAAGAGGATAAGTTAGACATTTAATTACAATTTAAGCCATTTGCCCTTCCAAAAGAATATTAAGGGGCTGGGAAGGTGGCTCAGTGGTAGAGCACTTGCCTTGCATGCCTGAGGCCCTGGGTTCGATTCCTCAGCACCACATAAGCAGAAAGAAAAGAAAAAAAAACGGAAGTGGCGCTGTGGCTCAAGTGGTAGAGCTCTAGCCTTGAGCTGAAGAGCTGAGGGACAGCGTCCAGGCCCAGAGTTCAGGCCCCACGACAGGACCCAAAAGAATATTAAGAAAATTTAAATGTAAGACTTTTAACTTAATTTCAATTTATATTAAACATTTGTAAAACATTTCAAATGATAGACTTCTATTCAGAATTTGTAAAGAAAGAACTTCTAAACTCACTAATATGACGCGTTTTAAGTAGGCAAAGAATTTGAATAGGCCAAAGATGACATATACATGAACATAATTCTACGTGATTAGACACTAGGGAGACACACAATCACAATAAGAGACCTCTGTGCACCTGTACAATTTTATGGTTGCTAAAACTAAAAAGTCTGGTATTATTCAGGGTTGATGAGTATGAGGAACAGCTGGAATTGTCATATTTTGCTAACAGGAATAGATGAAAAACAGTTTACATATAAACTGAATATATTAGAATACATCAAAATGAATGTATTAGAATATACTATATGTACGTATATATTAGAATGTATCAAACTAAAATTTGTAGTTTCTTAAAATTTAGACATATACATTCATA